ACGTCGGACTGTCCTGGCCCTCTCCCCTGGTTCCTCTGCCCTTTCCCCTGGCACTGGCCCAGCACATCTTCATCTTGTCGGTCCTGGCAGGATCACAGGGATCCAGGCAGGCGTGTTGGTTTCTCCCTTCCCTGCTCCAGGTGTTGGCACCTCACCTGTCTCTCCAAAGCCACTTGGCATCCAGCCTCCAGGGAGTCCCCATTGTGCGGGGCTGACCCCGTCAGTGAGCCCTTGGGGCTGGTGGGCTCTTTCCTGACCCCAGCAGCTCTGTCGAGGCATCTCGCAAGCCATCGGCCACTCTGTCCTCTGGGCAGGCTGCGTGGCAAACGCCGAGCACCCTAGCCTGGCACAGCGCACAACGCCAGGGTTGTGGCACAGTCAAAAACTGCTCCTGCTCGCCCTGGAACCGCTCCCGGGCGTGAAGGGGAGGTGATGCTTTCCCAATGAAATTGGTAGGAGCCTTCCTGCTGCCCTCAAGGAACAGGGATGGGTTTTTAAGTCACGGACTTCAGGGATTCCAAGGCCATTGCAAGTTGTGTTCATTCCTTGCACTCAGGTTGGTGATTCGTCATTGTCTTTGATGCATTTTTTTTCCTTCCAAGGATGCGGACCACCAGATCTCCCTGCACGGCTGCTGGCAGAACCTCCTTAGCAACGGGAGGACGCAATGTGCAGTCCATCCCCGTCAGACAGCACGAGTAAGCCTGGCTGTCCTTCCCGGGAGGACACCTTGGGATGGCAGAAAAAAGGGTCAGAGTCCCAGAGTAGCCAAGAGCACCCAGAGAAAACTGAGCCTCCGCGCTGCTCCGCCACAGCGGGCAAGGGGACAAGGTCCCACCTTGCCAGACACTGGGTTTGAGGGGATGATGGCTCTGTGCCCGGGAAAAGTTGCTTCTCCTGGAAGCCACGGTACTGATCAGGCTGGCATAAGCTTTTGAATGGGACTGTGCTGGTTTTGTCTGCCCCACTGCTGGCCAGGGTGAACATTTCTCCTTTCACATCTTCCTCCACAATGCGGATGTTTGGTTGAATAACAAAACATATAAAGCCTCCCTCAGGGAGAATAAAATGGTCTTGCTGTACGCTGTGTCCCAGTACGTGGGTATCATTTAACCCCGTGTTCAAATGGGTCTCTGTGCCATGACAACAGAGTTACTGGGGAAGCTGCTGGTGAGTCGCTTGCTGTTGCTGCTCGTAACAACAATTGCTTTCTGCGTTACAGCAAAGGTGGCGATGAAAAGCCAATTGCGGGATTGGCAAGACACAGCACCCTTCCTGGGAAAGTGGAGGCCAAATCTGCGCACTGAAGTTTCACCTCCTGGCTATCGCCCTTTGTGATCCCGCAGGGAGCGCATGCAGCACATGGGAGCAAGAAAAGGAAAAGGCCGAAGGGATCACCCAGATCATGATCACCCTTAAGAGATTTGGTAACCTGTAAGGGGAGTCACCCTGCTCTTGGTTTGGCCCAGCTCCAGTAGATGTAAACCTTGCACTCTGTGGGCATCCTTGGGGCTCTCGGCAGCTGCAGGGGCGAGGGCAGTGGCGGAGCCAGTGAGAGCAAGGCAGGAGGGCACCTCTAATGAACACATCTGTCTGTACGCAGGGGATACGGCATCCCACTTGAGGGCGGGGTAAAGCTGGAGGGGATTCAGTGGGGGCCACCAAGATGACTGGAGCCAGGAGGATGCTGCCTATGGGAAGAGGTGGAAGGAGCTGGCTCGGTGAATCACGAGGAGAGAAGGCTGGAGGGGACCAAGCAACAGCCTACAGTGACTTGGAGGGCAAGTACAGAGAGGATGGAGTGAAACTCCCCTCTGCACTGACAAGTGAAACATCAAGGGGCAACGGCCACAGCCTGCAGCTTGGATGGTAACGTCAGGAGAAACATCTCCTCCAGGAGGGTGCTGCAGCCCCGGGACACATAGCCAGGCTGACCGACATCACCTTTGAAGGTTTTCAATATTTGGCTAAATAAAGCTGTGACAGCCAGGGAAAAGTCCCGCTCAGCTCTCTGTTGGGGTGCAACTTTGCACACGTTGTTTGTCTTCAAAGTACATTTGCAGATCAAGACCAACACTAAGATAGAGGCAGTAGGAAACTTGATGGAAAATTATGTGTTGCTTGTTTTCAGTATTTGGCTAAATAAAGCTGTGACAGCCAGGGAAAAGTCCCGCTCGGGTCTCTGCTGGGGTGCAACTTTGCACACGTTGTTTGTCTTCAAAGTACATTTGCAGATCAAGACCAACACTAAGATAGAGGCAGTAGGAAACTTGATGGAAAATTATGTGTTGCTTGTTTTTAAAGCTTCAAACTCACTACGGCAGCAACAGTAGCTAATCAGTTGCATGGTGTTGTTATTTTGGCAGATATAAATACCCTATTCCTGTGAATTGTTGTGAAGATAAGGAACAGTTTTTCAGCCTGGGAAGCCTATGCTGGCCTGTTTTTTTTGCTGGTTGCACAAAGGCTGGTGCTGGGAGGATACACTGTGCTGTGCTCGCACTGTAATTTTGCAGCAGGTATTTTAATCCTCTCCCAAGCTGCACGGCAGCAGGACTGTCATGGATCTAAATCTTTATGGAGATGATAAAACAGACTGAAAAATGAACATGAGTGCCACTGTCATAACACTCATCCAGATCTGTCTATCATTTTGTTAAGCAGCAATAACGTCTCTCTTTCGAAGAGCTGGCCCGATCCTGCGAAGGTGACTCGCAACACCGAGTGAGGTCAGACGGTGACCCAGGGGTGCATTCAGGAACGGGCTCGCAAACCCCAGGATGTTTTTGCTGTGGAAGAAACTGTTGGGTACACACCGGAGGCGGCTGTGGCTGAGAGGCTCCAGCTCAGCCCCGCGGATGGCACGGCACGGTGCGGCACAGCCTTGCCTGCACCCGCACTGCCCTTCCACAGACCTGACCTCCGGCTGCTCCATCGCTCAGTCTCCCTGCCAACACCGCTGCCAGTTGCTCATTGGGTGGGAAATGGGGTTTTAACATTTCTTTTCTCAGATGGGATGTTACATTTCAAAGTGGGAATGTGTGACTTTCACCTGCTGTCCATGGTGAGCTGCAGGGAAAAACTCAAACGCCAGTGTTCGAGGCATTTTAATTTGCTCGGCACAAAGCTTGAGGAGCTAAATCCTGGCCAAGAAAGGTGGGTCCAGAGCTCACAGACAAACTACTGTTCCCCAACTGCAAGGGACAGCTCATGACCACTGAAATATGCCACATTTAATAAACGTTTGCTAATCATCCTGTTAGCACTGATGGTGGCTGTATGTTCAAGACACGGTGGCAATGGGGCTTTCACATAACTGCAGTCTTCACATGTGTCACAGAGATGGGATCCAAGTACCAGTGACTATCTTTGCTTTAATATGGGATGCAATTAAATAATTGGTTCTGGCATAGATTAGTTTAGCCATATTAGCTACAAAACCTGCAGCAAGGATTGTCTTGCATGATATGTTCATGTTGTATCCGAAATAATGGGAAGCTCTTGGCTGGAGGCTCTAAGAATAACTATGCTACAAGAGGAGGGATCACAATTTGAGGAGATAGCTGCTGCACAATGTCCTGTCCTCGTTTTCAGAGGCGGAGGGTAAATGGTACGGCCATCACTTTTAATTACTTTGTGCTGGGCGGCAGTTACCCTGTACAGCAGAGCTCGAGGTAGGACGTGTGAGTGTTTCCCCATGCGTTTCAATGCACAGTTAGCCAGATGAGCTCCAGTTGCCTTCCCCAGTGATTTAATTTAAGCTGGTTGATTTTGCCCTAATGCGTGCACACGCGCAGCCCAGGCTGGGCTGTGAGGTTGTAACACCCAGCCAGTGAGTTACAGTGTCTCCAGCTGTTAAAACCACATCTGGAGGAGACCACCTTTCTTTCAGCTTCCACAGATGTGGGAATGCTAATATATCCTATACTGGGCATACTGGTAAACATGGCACTGGCACCTGTGAGAACAGTACTACAGGGCATTTCTGAGGGAAAGGCAATTCTCCAAGAGAGGGAAGATATGATCAGAGACGATCTGGTATGACCACAGATATGATGTGCTGCTGTGGCTACTGGGCTGCTGAGCCGAAACCTCCAGCCACAGCTGGCTGGAGCCGCAGGAGTTCCTGAAAGCAGGGGGTCAAGGGCAAATTTTAGCCCACAGAGAGGGGGGCTCAGCGGCTGTCTTCAGGGCTTGGCACCCTCGCTACCGTGTTGTCCTCACTGCTGCAGTACGGGGAGCACTAGGGATGGGGAGCACTGCTGCTTCGCACCAGCATCATTTATGCCGCTCTGAATTTAAGCACTGTGTTCACCTCCCAGATCTCTCTCACTGAAATCACTTTTCCCCTCTGCCATCTGCTAACGGCCAGGGTGTTTCTCTGCTGGGTGCTACAGACACACTTAATGCAGGAGGTTTCCTATACAGCAGACAAGGTGCTCACACGAAAGGGTTTAATCAGCTGTCTTATTTATGCAGATGCTGTAAATAACTCTGCCACCTGTTTTGCCTCCACTACGGTCTGTATTACTGACACAGCCAAGCTGAGACACGAGCGAGGTTGATCGTAATTCACCTGGAGCCGTGGTCCAAACTCACCAGCGCTGACAGTAATAGCCTCAATAAACTGCTCCCTCCAGCTGTTCGTGCCAACCACCAGGGCCAGGTTTGTCTTCTTAATGAGCTTGTCCACCGTGTTCTGTGGATGGAGATGCAGAGGAGAGAATTAGGGGCTATGGGGCTGGAGATTCTGGGCTAAAACCCACCGGCACTGGTGCTCACAGCCATGCACTTACGGGAAAAGCTTAGCAGACTTTAAGCTCAGGTCCAGAGCCCCAGCAGCAAAAGCAAATGTAAGTACTTGCAATTCCCCTCGCTGTTGCTCAAAAAGACCTTTTGAAACCTGCTCACGGTGGGAGTTTGAACCATCTCATTGGAGGTTTAACAGTAAATGGTGCTGAGGTGCCACAGCTCCTGTTGCTCCCAATACCTCGGGAAGAATTTTCACCGGTCTGTTTCAAAGGCAGGCGCATTTGTGGAGCTGGGCTCTGCCTCTCTGTACTGCTCAGGAGCCGGAGCTCAGCACCAGCAGGGGAAGTGCTGCGGCAGCAGCGGGCGGGAGATGCTCCTGGGCAGGGAGCCTGAGGGCTGCCCGCAGGCTGTGACGCCTCGGACGCACACTGACGGTGGGCAGCAAAACCACGGGAGGGAGGCAGCCACCGCTGTGACACAGTTATTTTTTGTACTACAGAAAAATGGAAAAGATTATGAAATGGCCGGTTTTCAGCTCTTGGTCTGGCACACGCATTCATGGCAGCTTAGCTTCACAACCATGACTCGCATGTAGGGTATCAGCCCTCCGCGCTGGGAGTCCCAGGCTTGGGGCTCGCTCAGGACTGTCTGTAAGTAGGACCTCGCTGTAGCACATCACTGTGAGAATGAGGTTATATTTTAAAGCAATCTGCAGCATTTTGGAGCCCAGTCAGCTCTTAGGCTCACCAGAGTGATGTGCTTGTATAATAACAACCACAAACAGTCTGTAAGCGGGACAGAGAGTCCGGGATCATCCCTCAAGGACCATGACTGTGGGGTAATGGACAGGGTGAGGATGCAGAGTGTATTTTAACCCACTGCCATCTCACTGGAGTGACCCTCACCCTTTCATCATGCTTTGGCTCAGCCACCTTTCAAAGTGTCCCCTGGTCCTGCTCTGAGACCTTGTGATGCCAGCAGCTGCCTCGCTTTGCTGTAATACCATCAACGTATGCTTGCCAATGCCGTGCAGGTCCAAAGGGAGGGGAAGAAGAACAGGGAGAGGGGACACGGACAGTACCTTGAACTCGTAGGATTCCTCAATGATGACTTCGAGCTTGGTGTGCTCCCCCAGGACTGGGCGCCCCAGCTCCGCGATTCGACGCTC